TAACAGTCTAACTGGGGAGCATGAAAATGTTTCATTAATCCACTTGTGTGATCTTAAAGCTTTCCCACACCCTGAACTGTTTCATAAACCCAACAGAAAATAAAGTTTATTTAAACTTTATATTTTCTTCATACAGTTTTAAAATAAACCAGAGACCAGTGAACATCATGAGTGTGGATGTGGAAGCTGCTGCTCTGTGAGCGTGGGAACGTTTCAAATAAATACAGGGTCATGAGTGGCCACATGGGGGCGCTGCTGGGCGCTTTTTGATCTATTCAAAAATACATTGATCCTTCAGTCTGCTGGGTCTGAGCAAACACAGTAAAATCACAACATTGGAAATATAATAAATCTGAATATTGCAGAAAAAGGAGAAGCTTTATTTCCACAGATGAAGGAGAGATGTTATTACCTCCTGTTGTACAGTTTATTTACAGACACAATTCATTTACAATAAATCTGAATTTATGGTTCTTATTCATTCATATCAGTGTTAGCATGTGTGCTGTTCGAGCAGCTTCTTTCTGTCACACCCAGAAAAGACTGAAGTCCATTCTGAGCCTGTAAAACGTCTCTGTTGTTTACACGGTTCTTGAAACAAAGCCCAGAGTCCTTCTGTCCTGAACTGTAGAAGTTAATCATTGATTTTACCCTCTGCCAGGATCACAGCTTTACTCCACCTGTCTGACTTCTTCATGTGTCTGTGTCACATTCAGTGACTGCTTCTTCTTCTTTGTTTGTCTTTGAGAAGCTTTACGTGTAAAACGAGGCATCGAAGCTTCAGTAAAGCCTTTATTTAGATCCTGTGTGGAGCTGCACGACCAACATGTGACTTTCAGCTTTGATTCAAAGTGTTTCATTAACAGCATCACATTAACTGATCTGGAATTAAAGACATGTTTACACAGGGTGAGGCTGTTCACTTATTTAATGACACTAAATGAATGAAACACATCAAACCTGCAGCTGGTTTAAAGTGTTTTATGGGTTTGACTGTGATTTTAAATAAATGTGCTGAAAAGCTGAAGTTAAACCATCAGAGAGTAAAAACTAAGATCTTACAGGAAGTCCTGACCTGCTCGGCTGCAGGTTCAGTTTAACAGAGTTTGAGTTTCTGTGTGAAGGTCAAAGTTCAGTCATCACATGAGTAGCTAACATGTCATAAAGGTCACCAGGATACTCGTACAAACACTGATCTTTAACATAGAATCAGGCAGTATGTCTGTATTATTCTCTACATACAGACTGTAACACTGACCTGAAACTTCACTCAAGAACCAAATTTACACATTAAGGAGTTTGTTTTGTTTCTTATCAAAGTTCACATTTTATTGCTGCTTTGCTGAAGTTTGGTCGAGTCGGGCTGTAAATGATCTGCGACACACCTTATTGACCCGTCTGCTCACACTTCTCCTCACAGGCTTTGATTTAACTCTGTGGATCAGCTGTGACACGGTCACAGTGGGTACTGTAGCCGTCAGCCTCATGTCCCGTCTGAAGCAGTGTGAGAGTGTCAGTAGATGATCAGCAGAGGAAAGTGAAGCTGCTGTGAGCTGATGTCCTGAAGGGCTTTTAAAGAGTCTCTGAGTTTGACAGGAACATGAAGTTGTTTGTGGTGTTTGTGA